AGTTTCTTTAAGTTAATAATATAATTTTATTATAATATTTAACTAGTATATTATACTTATATAATTAAATATAATATATTATAGATTAAAGTAGTTTTTTTATAACTTAATATAATATCTTTTTTAATAACTTTTAAAGTAAAAATAATTCTTACTTTTTTTAATATATTTTCTATAAGTAATTATTAAGTAATATATATATTAAGATAAAAGATAATAAAACTTAGTAAAATAGCTTATTTACTTATCTAGTCTATTTATTTATTAACTATATTAATTATTATTTTATTTAATAATAACAATAATTAATTAATAAATATTAATAGATATTAATAGATATATATAATAATAAATAAATAGTAAATATAAATATAATAAAGGTATTATAATTTCAAAAGTATTAAAGGTAATAAAAAATAAAATAAACTTATTTATAGAAAATTATATTAGAATTAGGTTTAAAAAATAACTTTTATTAAAAGAAATTAGAAAGAATAAGGTAATATTTAACTAAAATCATAACTAGTAATTCAGACTCCTCTACGTAAAATTGCTCTCTATTGTGCCTGTTATTTGATGTACCCATCAATCAGCTGTCATAAATCACGAGAATAAGCCACGTGTGTTTTGAGTGGGTCCGCAGTAAGTCAGGATCTGGCTGCGCTTCCGTTTCTCCTCCGTGTTCCCTTAGCCATTCATATATCCCAACCTTGTGCAGCGCCATACTCGACCTCTGCGGCTTTGTATCTACGTGCTGCTAGCACACACAGCAGGGCTTGCGCCACCTGCATCCTAGTTCTTGCCATATCGTCGTCAGACTGTTAAAAATGCCCAGAGACGACTTATCTATCGAATTTGTCAAGAGGATGCCTCAAGCGGAGCCCCTCGACCCGAGTCTAATACTCGATGATTGGATTAATCGCGTTCAGAATTTTCCCGAGGAAATTCGTTTCATGCAAGACGAAATCGCCGATAAAGATAGACAATACAACGAATGCGTCCGCATGATCGAAGACCGCGATGCTAAGATCCAGAAATGGATTAAAACCAATGGCAGCCATGAACCAAACCCCAGAGAAGACTTGTTGCGCTCCCAGATTCGAGAACACTATGCCAAAGCCGATCGACTTGCTCAGGAGAAAATTGACTTGGCACGCAAGTTACAGCTCACCATGGACAAGCATCTGCGCAGTCTTGATATACAAATCAAGATACTATACGACCGGGCTGAGCCTGGTTTCACCGACCCTGATGAGGTCCCCTCTCTATTGCGCCCCAGTGCAGCCAACATTGCGGCGCCTTCCATCCGCACGAGCAACCCCTCAAGCATGACAGCCGGTCCGACAATCGCTCCTATCAATACCGGCCCTAATCCAGCGTTGGCTCGATTACCCACACATCCACATATTCGTTTAGCCCAGACACCACAGCAGCAGCAGCAGCAGCAGCAGCCTAAGCAGTCACATGCAGCTTCGGCGCCGGCAACCCCAGCTGCGAGCATGATAATGAATCGACACAGGGAAAGTTCTGCGGGACCAGCCACCAAGCGAGGGCCCAAGGCAGCCCTTGGAATAGGTACTGCGCCAACTACATCGAGCGGTCTTGCGCGACATTCGTCTCTGGGCCCGGGAACGCCGAAGAGTAATACTGCAAGTGGCTCTAATGTAGCTATGAGAGCCGGTAGTGCCGGCCCGAGGGCCACAACCACCAAATTAGGAAATGGGCCAGGCAGTCGGCGAGGCACACCGGGTGCGCCGAATCGCAAGAAGCCTCCACATAAATCGAAGTTGTCTCGCGTCAAGAAGGCCTCTACCAGGAACTCGCCAGTCTCCACGGCAGACAGCGACCTCTCGGAGGCTGAAAGCGGGAGCGGGGATGATGCCGCTCGTCGTTCCGGATCTGTGGCTGATGACCAGGACGGCGACGGTGACGAAGCGATTCACGATGCCGATGAAGATGACGAGGAAGAAGAAGAGGAAGGTGGTGATGACAAGAAGTACTGCTTGTGCCACAATGTTAGCTACGGTGACATGGTTGCGTGCGACAACGACAATTGTCCGTACGAGTGGTTCCATTGGTCCTGTGTGGGCCTCAAGAGCGAGCCAAATGGTACTTGGTATTGCCCTGTATGCTCAGAAAAGCTGCAAAAGAAAGTGAAATGATTGGTCTTGAGGTTGTGAATCACGATGTTGATTGGAAATCAGATATCCGGCGTTGTTTATTTTATCAAGATACCCACCATGCCTTCCAGCATGGCGTTCAATCATCTTCAATTTGACACCCTTTGCCTGCAAAGCCCCTCCTTGTATTTATCGTCTTGAGAGGCCATGCTCTGACTTGTAAAGTGCACTTGACTACACCGCGTCGCACACCGTCTGTTTCCTCGCGCAAAATTGTGACATCGCCTCCACGACCGCGAGCTTGATCCACAAAGTCATCTAGGGAGCCTCCAACACCAAAGTACAGTTTCTTAGCCGCCACCAGAGCGACTGCTCGCGAGGTGCTATATTTTGCGCCTTCTCGTTGCAGTATACAGAATGTGGCTTCTGTAAATGCCTGAAGCGCAAACGGCGAGTAGATTGTTTCTGCCCCGAGTAGTAGTGTGGCGGCGGCTGCGCCAGAGTCTGTTGCATCATTGGGGATGCCGTTGTACACGAGCTCGATGAATCTGGGGGACCACGCGCCGGAGATGAATGTGAGAGCAATTCGATTGGCGACAAGATGCGACTGGAACGCCGCAACGACTTCTGGGAGCAGCTCGAGCTCATCGTCGAGGGAGAAGGCGTTGATCAGAGCAGGTGTGTGCTCACGGCAAGAAAGAGCCCATGCGAGAATAAAGTTGGGCAATGTGACAAGCTGTAATACTGTAGGATTGTAGTCTGCTACGATGAATGATGTTGGTTGGCGCGTTATGGCGGCGCTTGACATGGCGGCTTCTATTGTCCATTGAAAAAGGGATATGGATGGCAATGCGGTTCCGCAGCCAAGCTGAGGATATGTCAGTTCTATTCCGCCGTATGATCGTAGGAAATTTCAGGGTGTGTGAGAAGAAATTGATCTCTTGGCTAATACGACGTACCTCTATAATTCTCATGGGCAGCTGCTCGGCAGCAGAGACTTTACCCTGCGCAGCCAGCACCTTGACCAAGTCCACGCTACTCTCCCAGCTCTTGAATCCTCCTTCGTATACCCCTGTCTTAACATCATGTGTGCCCAGGCCGGAACCATCCGCGTTGACGCCATGCTCTGCGTTCTTCTCTTCCTCTTCCTCTGCCATGAGCTGCACCCGCACATCCCAGAGTTCGCGACGGGGCAGCTGCACGACACATCCGTCATCAAGAGTCACGTCCAACAAGCTGTATGCAATTTTCGAAGGCATCATAGCGAGCATCTGGGAGAGGTCATGGCGTGTGGCAGTTAGTTGAGGCTTGCCCGCGGTTGGGAATGCGCCGGCTTGCGCAGGTGTGATGGTGGGAGCAGCGGGCTGCTGGGTCCCAGCATCGTTGGAGGCATCTATATCGTCTCCAGCAAAGCCAAATGAGAAATTCATGCCGTATTCTCTCACAAGTTTCGGAGATTCTGCTCCCATATGAACGTACTGGAAATGTCAAGACATTCAAGTGCCTTGAAAAAGCCTAAGATTGCGATTCTGCTGTGGGGCCGAAAACTCGGACTCGAGCCGCTGCACGATATTGCCTAGTTGCCTCCCCGGGTACCACCGGCTGGCAAGGCTTCTCTTGATACTTGTTCATGCAAGCATCATCTCTGACTCGACTTTAACGACGCCTGATATCTATGAATTAATCAAAACTCTGCGATTCTACGGCTTCTACGATTCGCTCGCGCTGCAGGTTGTATGTTCTTGTATTGCATCGACTCCCTTTATCCGTTCATTTATGCCATATTCCCATTGAATAGAGCACTTAGCAATCATTACCATGCATCTGTCATTGGCCAGGCTCGCCAAAGCCGCGTCCACGCAAACGGGGTTTCGTCCTAGTCCTATGGCCTTACTGCCACCGATTCCATTATACCGACGCCTATTGCGCGCACATCGCAAGTTTCTTCCAGCAGAGATGCGCATTTTGGGCGATGAGTACATCAGGGCCGAGTTTCGGGCACACCGCAAAGTTGAAAATCCAGCGCATCTGGTAAGTTGGCATGTTCGCGGCCTGGTATATGGACTATGTTGACGATTGTTTTAAAGATTGGCTTCTTGACGGAGTGGCAAATGTATGCGCAAAAGCTCGAGGGAGACGCTTGGATTGGCGAGAAGATTGATGAGGGCAAGTTGGCAAAACTGAGCGACGAGCAAGTCTATCAGCTCTACGACCTAATGCAATCCATAGAGAAGCATCGCAAGGGCGAGTAGGTAGGGGAAGCAGATGATTCAATTGGGAGACAACTCTTGGATATCAATTACTGAACTAGACTTGCCTATCTTCCTCGTCCTCAATCCCCTTATCTGCATTCCAGTGCCTCAACAACCCATGTGGCCTGAATTGCGCTGACTTTCTTCGCGTAGTTTTTATTGGTGTATACATGCTCAAGGAACATAATGGCTTCCACCTTTCGCCCGTGCAGTACGCTTGCCGGGTGGATTGCCACGACATGCTTACCCTGGCAAGTCACATAGCTGGAATCCGGCGCTAGCATAGCCGTCTTCATTGCGAACCCACGGAGAAAGCACTTGAGCAACGCTTCAGCACGCTGAGGGGATACTGGAGCGAACGGCTGCGGGTCGCCCGGAGGCGTCTCCCTAAGCAGCTTCTCCTTCAAGCACATGCCACGGAGCTGTCTTCGAATGTTCAGAGCCTGCTTCATCGTGCGTATATTGAGCTTTCGCTTCTGGCACCACTCATTTCGGTCGGCATTTTCGGCTGTGTATTGCTGCATAGCGGTGAGATATGTAATGATATCTCCTTCGCGCCGTTGAAGTTCCTTTAGAGATTCTTCGATCGCTTCCTGGCCTTCTTCCAAATGCACAGCCAGGAAAATATCCTCACCGGCGGTGATGCAAGAAATAACATCGATCACTTCCAGTACGCAGTCGTATTCTGGTTTGGCAGCACCAAGAAGAACCGCGCTCAGAGATGCGGCGAGGGGAAACTTTGCCATGGTCTCTCCAGTACTAGTAATACTCCCATCGTCGTTTAAGGCTCCGAGAAAGTGAAGATGCACTAGCGCACGCTCGATTGCTTCGGTTTCGGGGGCATCCATGAGGGGAAAAGATAGCACATCCCGAATCCCGCGAGCCTTCATCATGAGAATTGCACCGAGAGCATCATTGCGTAAAATTTCTGGGAGATCAGCCAATAGCAATGAATTGAAGCTCGGTTCTGTGTAGAGGCGGTAGCATTTTCCGGGCCCTTCACGACCTGCACGACCAGTTCTTTGTATTGCCGACGATTTGGAAATGGGCTTAGCGAGCAGCGACTCCATACCTAGTCTTGGACGAAACTGCTTGATCTTGGCTTTGCCACCGTCTACCACATACCGAACACCTGGGACCGTGACCGAAGTTTCTGCGATATTCGTTGCGAGCACGACTTTTCGTGTAAAACTCCTTTTCAAAGGAACGAAAGCCTCACTCTGTGCTTCAATCGACAACTGACCGTAAAGCGGTACAGCTTTGAGTTTTGGTACGTTCGATGCCAAGCTGGTGGAGTATTCCTCGATCACCTTCTGGGCTACTCTGATCTCCTCTTGTCCCGTGAAAAATGCCAGAATATCTCCAGGAAGCGGCTCCTCGGTATGTATTTTGAATATTCGTTTCAAAAGTGCGTCTTGCAAATCGGCAACGGGTCGGGATTCATGCTGAACCGTTACAGGGAATTGCCGGCCCTCGATGCGTAAGACAGCAGCATCTCTGTGGTTGTGCTGCAAGATTTCCTCATCGTCAAAAAATTCTTTGATAGCTTCAACATTGGCGGTAGCACTCATGATGACTACTTTGAGGGGGACCCCGCCACGGTGCTTTGGGCCTGCAATCAATATTTGCTTCAGGAAGCCTACCAAAAGATCAGCATCTAAACTGCGTTCGTGAATTTCATCAACAATAACAGCACTGTATTGTCTCAGATATGGATCACGCAGAAGTTCTTGAAGGAGTATTCCCTCAGTGAGAAATTTGATCTTGGCGTCTTTGGGTACTTGGTGATCGAATCGGACAGAGTAACCGACTTTGCCATCTTTTCTTCCCTTTCCCAGTGGCGTTCCTGCTTCTTGAGCCACGCGATATGCCAGAGTTGTAGCAGCGACTCGTCTTGGCTGTGTGATGGCGACCATGCCACCGACATAAACTTCGCAGGAAGAGCCTGCCACTTTAACTTTTTGGCGCCTGCACCAGGGCTCTTCGGCCAGAAACTGAGGCACTTGGGTACTTTTACCAGAACCAGTCTCGCTGACCAAAACAAGGACATTGCTTTTTGCTCCGCGTAGAGGTTCCTGAATATCTGCCCTATGCCGCCAGATAGGAAGAGCTTTCCTGACTTGAAGTAGTCCTCCGCTCTCATCGCTGCGTTCTCGATGATTTGATTTTCGGTCTCGTGGTTCAACATTCGCATTCAATTTTTCCTGAATTTCTTCAATTTTTGCATTACGCTGCTTCGTCGCGTTGATTTTATCATTTGTGACGTCGGGCTTGGTAATAGGCTTCGCAGATGTTGATTGTGATGGACACAAGTATCCGTCTAAGGAGATCGTCTTGCCGCCAAAGGTAATTGTATTTAGACCCTTTTGAGTCTTTCGCTTTTTGGCAGGTCGGCTGCCGTCTTCCGCAGCGGTCATAATAACGGCTGTCGAAAATCAGGAAACGGATCAAGGTCTCTGGCTTTATGCCTGGGCTGTGCCTGGCTTTGGTTGATGTCTGCAATTTTTTGTGGATATTACGACTTGTGGAGCAAAAGACGTAGTTAGGCGGTGTGACATAATGAACACAAATACGCGTTATAAGGGAGCTCAATGGATAAAAGGCCGCGACCGGGAAATTTTCAATCTCTTTTACCACCTTTGTTTCTTTATTGGTATAACGCAGGGTCTTGTTAAGGCTGTAACACTTTTCAGTCTTGCTGGCGCTGTAGCTGGTATGGCTTAGACTTGCGTATGCTGTTGAGCTCGCTCGAAATGAGCTCGAGACATTCACCCAGGAGAGCATTAGAGAAAGAATATGCAAATTTTGTATTTATACCAGACCAAATCTGCAACTGCATAAAGTTTGCAACGACAGTAGTTCATCACTTGTGAGAAGCAATACGAAATCGGATATCAAACTTGGCAACCAATGCCGCGCTTGAAAATATACCAATGGGATGTACTATAGCTGGGAGCGCCGTAACTCATTTGATGCGGGCTAATCTCTCACGGTTCATGCGAGTAGCATCGTCTACAGCATCGCTCTGCGGCCGAAAATTAGTAATGGATCATCAAGGTTGTGCCCAAGTAACTGACCTTTGTCATAATTCTGTCGATTTGTTTGTTCTGCGAGTCCACCTCCTTCCCTATAGCACGCCCGACCATGTTCATCATGGAGACCTGCCCCTCGAGCTCGTTGATACCATCGTCAATCTGGTCCTCGAGCTCATCGGCGCCCTCTTCGTCTTCCAAATTGAATTTGCCATAGTCTTTCTTGGTACGCTGCTGGGATCTAGCGCCACCAATGGCACTGATATCGTGAAGGTTGGATTCCATGCGCTGATTAGCAGAGAAGCCCTCGCGTCGGGTGGCCTCTCTCTGTTCACGTTCGGATCGATGACGGTTCATGACTTCATCGTCCGCCTTTTGCTGGCGCTGTTTCGATGTGAACGGGTTGGAGACGTGAACGGCAAACATGCTTCTGTTCAGAGTTTTCAGTTCCGCAGCTCTATCTTGTGCAATCTTATTCTGGTTCGCAGCAAGATCCAAGTTCTTTTCAGTGTTGTACAGTCGTTCGCCCTGGGCCCCGAGGCGCGCGAGTGTAGCACGGCCAACTTCATTCGCTTGTCTGGCCATCTGGACGGAGCGCGTGACTGACGAGGAGCTCTCTTGCTGCAGTTGGCGTTTTTCAGCAAGGATCGCTTGCGTTTCGACTTCGTCTTGTTCTTCTGCCGTGAGTTCTCGCTGATCACCGTACCCTCCATAACTATCTTGCGCCGCAGTAGATCCGCCACTCTGTCCATAGCCGGGGTTAGTCGCGGCTGCTTGCTGTCTCTGGATATATCTTTCCTGGGCACCACCAAGAAGAGCGTCCCTGTTGCTGTCTTGCTCATCTGGGACGTTCCGTCCGAAGCCACCATAACCGCCGGGCCCTCTAGCACCGGCAGTGGAAGCGCTATGTCGGTCCGCTATGGCATTGTTGTCGTATCTGCTTGAGCCATAACCACCTCCAGACCCGTACTTTTCGGAGCTGTATCCCCCGTGGCCGCCAGCACGGCCTGAATGATCCTGTTGTCCAGTGCCAGGCGCAGGCGGTGCACCAGCGCTTACTTGGGAGCGGACTTGTTGGTAGGGTGTTATGTTCGCATACTTTGCGGAATCAGCGTACGGATCGGTGGCGCCTTGGGCGCCTTGCTGTGCGTAAGGATTGTCGGATGGGGCAGCTCCGGCCGACCCTTTTTTGCGACCGCCAAAGAGAGCATTGCGACTGGCGTCATCACCATCGTCGCCGCCTTTCTTTCCGAAACCAAACTTCTTCATAGTATCTTCGTTGGCTGTAGTATTCGCTGTTTTTGTAACCGAGAATCAGGGCCCAAATGAGGAAACCCGAAATTGTAGAGAGAATATTACATGAGATGATGGGAGGTAAACCCAGTGTAGTGGTAAGGAGGCAGGGAGGCTTAGTTGAGTTGCGGCAGTGCACACAACCAGAGAGAGTATCAAGCGCCTACCAGAATTCTGGTTTCGGACTAACAGTGGGGCAGGAGTTGTATCCGTACCTCGTAAGGTACGAATCAGATCACAGCCTTCACAGGTAGGTGGGGTACCTCCCGCCTGTGCCTGGGCACCCAGGCGCCAGCCTCCCAAACTTCCTTGCCAGCCGTCTCTCCCGTTTCATCACCCAGCAGGCAGCAATCTGGAAACAAGCTAGGAATTCTCCCAAAAACGGGGTGGAATTACGCATAAAAGTACGGATACTATCAGGATCATGTAACTACAGTATGACGCCCAAATGATTGATGCTGTTACTTTCAGGGCAGAGATTCCATTAGGCTACCTCACCCTCTGGTGCGTCGCCCGCGACGAAGCATTAAGAGAGAAGGCTGTCCTCCTGGTATTATAGTGATGAATGAAGCGGACAACTCAATTTGCGTGGACAAATCATGACTCAGTCTCGCCTTTGTCATGTAAGCATCGGCTCCCATGATTGGACAATGACAGTGAATGCATTCATTCATCATTCATCCCTCATTGGTCATTTCGGGCAGATTGGCGGTGCCGCGCGTGACTCTAGCATCCGTGCGAGGCCTCAAGACAGATATGCCTTGTTTCAGTGGTGGCCGCAAAATAATTGAATGTAAATTGAAGGGCAACCTTGAGTATAAAGCAATCCTTTACCTTTGTGTGGCATCCATACTTCAAAATAATTCATGATTCTATTCGTTTAGTTCCTGACGTGTGGATTTCATCTGCGATATCATCTTATGTTTTTGTCATGTTCAATAAGAACCCCCAGCTCCCCGCTCCCACAAGTGCCGTCGCGATCCCGTAAGATGATACTAATCCGCGTATTGTATACATAAACGTACGCCGTTGCGTCTTGTTGCGGGAGACATTTGAGAAATAAGCGCGGCCAACGAACGCGACTGGGGTCAAACTCCTCTCAGACCATGCGAGGAAGTTAGAAATTAAAGCAAAAGCAGTAAGGCTGCTGATACTGCGATGAAGGGAAAAGACTCCTCATCCAGTAGCGAGGTGATGTCCTGCTTGGTGATGTCCTGCTTGGTGTGATCGGCAGGCGTCGCCGGAGCAAATTAATGTATGCTGGTAGTGAGTAGCCGCAACCGTGTACCATAGAAGAAAGGCCTATAGTAAAGGAAGCTCATATGTATGTTATTCTAGTTGCCGCTGTCGACTTGACTGTTTCTTTCAATCTCTACTCGCTTGCCCACGCCATTTCGCGTAAAGGCATAGCCTTGCCTGAAGCTCTGCGCGAGCCGTCTTGCTCGTACTTGCATGCCCAGTATTCACCTAGACGTAACTCTGCGTAGGAGGCATAGTCGAAATCGATCTTGGATATAGTGGCCTGGATCGAGGACCAAATACCCCAGTAGAACCCCGGGACACCGCGGAAGTCGTCAATATCCCGCATCATCTTGACCGTCTCACGCTCGATTTTGAAATCTTCGCCTGCGCCTGAAAGCTGAGCGTAGGTCTCGATGTATTCACGCACAAAAGCAAGACGCTGGCTGCGTTTAGGAATTGCGGCGTAGTCACAGTCATAACCGGCCCATTCGGCGAAGTGGTTGGCAATATCAAAAGCGGCGGGAGATGGCGTGCCGTATTCGTAGTCAATGAAGCTTACGGATAAAGGCTTATTATCGTCGTTGTGCATGATGACATTGGCGCTCAACAGATCGCAGTGCGCAAAAACAAGCTATCCAAAGTCAGTCATCACAATGCACGCGGCAAAACGGGCAACACGTACACCATTCTGCCCAAACCCTGGGCGTTGGCTGAGTTGCTGGACGAGAAGCTGCAGCTCTTTTTGCAGCTTGCTCTGGCGCTCGCGCTCGGCGTCAGTGTCGACGGGCAGAGCAAGTATCCATTTCTGGATTGTCGACCACAAATTGGGAGTAGGCTTGCCCGGCGCGACGTTGGCTATTTTGGCTTTGTTAGAGTTGCCAGTCAATTCGATGCTGGTAGCTGGGTTCCTAATGTCGGGCAGGCAAGGAACAGTGGCGTGCCATTGCGCCAGACGACGTGCAATAGCTTTACTGAGAATGCGATCGGGCAGATCCTTGGGTTGAGCGACGCTTCCGGGGATGAAGCGGTAAAGCATGCCGTTGGCAAAACGGGCAAGAAGAGCGGGGGCGAGGTTATACTTCATGAGCAGCTCGTGGTTGGCGGCCTCACGCTCGCGGTCAATCAGAATGTCGGTGCCGTTGCCGTAGGCGCGAAGGAGTATGGCCTCGCGATCGATCTCGGCAGGGGAAAGGCCTGGGCGGCGGTTGACGGCCTTGAGAAGGGTGTTTGTGATGCCGTCTGTGAAGCGGACGAATTCGACATGATCGTCATTGGCCCAGTGCGGTGCAATGGCGTGGATGAGCTTGAGGGCGGAGGCATGGGAATCGGCGGGGTCGTAGGTGAAGGGGATGAAGCGCATATGGCCAGGGCTAGGGCTGACAGCGGCGGGAGCCATGGCTTGGGCGAAGACAAGAACAGCAGAGGGTGAGCGAGAGGTCGAGGCGATTCAGGAGAGGGGCGCCGACGGGAAGCGAAAGTTTAGAGCCAAGCGAAGGCAAAATGAAGTCAAACTCGAGGCTCGGTTGTAGGTGAGTAGGTAATGACAATCTGAAGTAGAGAAATACGAGTCAAGAGGCAGCTCAAAGCGCGTTCTGGCTGGACCATAGAATTCTCACAGGTGATCAGAACAGTTGTAGTCTGCAAAGCACGAGACCTGTTGCTGTTTGTAGTTTGGATAAGTTGGCGAGGGCGGTAGGGCAGCCAGTGATGAAGCGGCCAGGGACCATGTGAAAGTCGTTGCAGGGGGCCAGTGGCTTGGAGGGAAAAGCGGTCGGGCACCGCGCTAGTCAGTCCAGTAAAGTGAAGGGCGACGTCGATGAGTGAATACGCTTGGCCTCGTATGCCTGATGGTGAGCTCTAAATTGTCTGGGTACTGTTCGGAGGCTTTTGAGCGAGGCGGGGTTGGCTGGTGAGTACCTACCTAGGTAGAACCTACCTACCTAGGTAAGGTAGTGAGATGGGGCGGGTTGAGATTGCTGCGGCTCGGCGTACTCCGTACCGAGGATGTCGATACTGTCGATAATGTCGAGTAGGCAGGCAATTCAGCACCTTAGCAGAACTTGCGAAGATATTTTATTGGAAACTTGCCATGGTTTTTAGTTAGTGGGGCCTGCTTCATTAGTGATTATGATCGTTGATTGCTGTTTACTTTTTTGATTCATCGATTTGCTTCTGTTAACCGGTTGCTGGCTTGTCATAATCAGTTCAACAGTTGGGCGCACCGAGTCAAACTGGCTGCCTCCCCACCACCTGTCCTTTATTAATAGTGCATGAGACTTGAGTTTCTAAGACAAATACAACTATATACGTCATAATATAGTCCTAATAGGTGCATTATACACCAGACAAATGATGTCTAGGTGCTTTTCGGCGCTAATGGTAATTACTTAGCTATATTTACACTTGATATTACTAGCCTAGAGTACCTAACACTTCCTAGCTCTCTAGTCAGTTAAAGCTATATAAGTAATAAAAACTCCTAAGCTATTAAAAAGATACTAAGTACTTAATACCTCTTGTAATAACAAAAGCTAACCGTCGTATAACTAAGTTATAAGCCTAACCACCTGACAGCAAGGGGCAACGACCCCGGCCCACGGATAGTATTAGACCTATAATACGTCATCTAGTCCCGACCACCTAATGGTCGAGATTGACTGGTGGTGTCAGGGTTAGGCAGGGAGCGAGTTACAGCACAGGAAAGGTCGCGTGTAAGAAAGTAGGCATATAGAGGCGAACTGCCGACGAACTAGTAAGGAGGCAGCGATAATTCTATTAAGATATGCTAAGCGGACCGACTTATTTTACTTAGCGGACCGACCACGTGATATCCCTCTAAAAGAGTACTTACCTTTTATAGCCTACTACACTAAAATCTAGGTATTATACTAGTACCGATAGTATTAAGAGAGTACTTCGCTAGCTATATACTGAAAATGTAATTTTTTTTAATAAACTAACTACTTATAATACCTTATATACCTTAAGTACCTTTTTAAAGGCTATTTATATATATATAAGTAAAGTAGCAAAATTATAGTTATTTATTAGGTACTGAATTTTATATATAGAATATACTAAGATATATAAACTAAGGAAAATCTCGTTATATAATTAGTCTACTAAGTAGAAAGAGTTAGTCTACTTAGTATATCTTATTCTATTAGTATTAAGAACTATAAAGATTCTTTTATAACTAAAGTCCTTTATATAATATACCTTTATAGGTAGCTTATTAGATGCTAATAAGTCCTTTATTTTATAGTATATCTAAGTAATTCTACTTCTAATTAAAACCCCTACTAAAATACCTACTTTTAAACTATTAATATTAGAAAAGCTAGTACCTAAATTTTATTTTTTGTTATTATACTTAAATTCTTTAATTATAAAAATATATAATTCTATCTTTAGTAGATTTTCTAAGAAATCTAAAAAAATTATAATATCTAAATAAAACCTTATAGAGTAATTTTACTAGTAAAATTTATAGTTTTTCATCTTCTTTTAACTTTACTAAATAAAAATTTAATTTATTTGAATAAATAAAAATATATTTAACTTTTAATTTTATATATTCTAGTTAATCTTTTATTTTTAAGTATTTATAATATAATTATTATTTTAAATAACTATATAAAAATCTTATCTTAAAAAGTAGGTATTTAAATATAATTTAGGGTCGTAAGCGGAGTTTCTTATAACCTACTATAGACGAAACTACTAGTTAATAGAATCACGGCTCTATTTAGTCTATTACTATATAAGGTATAGATAGAATTAGTAAATAGATGTTACAAACGTAGGAATGCCTAGCTAGCGGGGAAGCGGCCAGCAGGAAGTAACGTAATAAGTAAGGAAACCTAAATAGGAAGGAGGAACTACGTTATATAACTACTTACTATAACTAGTATACTTAGTCTACTTAGTAATAAGTATACTAGGTAAGGTAAGTAAAGAGGAGTAGTAGAGATTAGATAAGTATATAAAAGAAGAGAATTCCTATAACTAAGTAGTCTAGATCTCTACTAATTAATCTAAATAATATTAAATAATTAATTTTAAAAGTTTTACTTTTAATAATTTTTTATATAAAAATATTATTTATTATTATTTTATAATATTTAAACTTAACTTACTTTTTAAAAAATAAACTAATTATAAACTAAAAATAAGTTATTATTATATTTTAATTAGTTTTATTTAATAAGTTATCTTTAAAATATTAAGTAACTAACTTTTTATAATATTTATTATAAATAAAAATATTATTAATTTTATATAGATTATATAATAAATATATTAGTAGATTATAGCTTTAATTATATAAGTCTAAGTACTTTAAACTAATCTTAAAAAAGGAGTTATATATAATATACCTAAGTTCTTAAAACCTAAGGCTTTTAATAAAACTAAAGAAAATATTTATATCTTCTTTACTTAAGTTAAAGCTTACTTAAAGGTTAATATTATTATTAATAAGGAACCTTTAAAGATTTTTTATATTAGAAACCTTTTTATTAATAAAGTAATAAAATAGTAAAAGCTTACTTTTAAGGATTATCTTAATAATAATAAACCTAAAATAAAGACTACTTAAATCTTTAATAATTATAATAACTTTAAAAAGTTATTTAAAATTATCTTTAAAGACCTTAATAAAATTTAAATTATTATATATAAACTTAAAATACTTAAATAAATAAGATTTATTTAATATTATATATAAAAGTTTAAATATATTATTATTATTATTAATTAAAATAATAATAACTAAATAGAACTTTTTTATAATAGACTTTATAAAAATATAAAAGATAAAATTTCTAAAAAAACTAGCCTAATAACTTTAATAGGTTTATTAAATAAGTTATTAAAATTAATAACTATTTTTATATAAGAAAACTTAAATATAGTAAAAAAGGAATAAGTTATTAAAGTAACTTCTTATAATATTACTAATTAAATATTAGAAAATATTAAAATAGATCTATAGCCTATAAAACTTACCTAAG